AGGATCCTCAGAACGTTTTTTGTCTAGTGGTTGGTGTGAGCTTGACTAATTCATTGGCTCTTTATGAAGTTAATTAGGCATGGATAGAGTGAGGCTGAGTGTTCCACAGAGAAGTATCCTGCTATTGCTGCATTTCACCATGCTAAATTTCTGGTGTAATCTGGTTTTTCTGGGGACTAAAGCAGAAACATTGGTAGTTCATGGAGGACTTCCTTGAATGTGTTGGTGTGTGTACATGTGCATTTTCACCTTGCAGAAATTAGCTAACTTGCAATCAGGTAATAGTTAAGAAATTTCCCGTGAAAAGATTGAAACAAGGCTCAATATTAGTGGTTGGGCATCTATGATGAGCTACAGTGTACTTAACATGAACAGTTTTTCCAGAAAATAACTTCATCTTTTTTTTTTTCCAGGCTGGGTTTAGCCTACGTAAAGTTAATAAACACATAAAATTTCCAGAAATCTTAGATTTGGCTCCTTTTTGTACTCTTAAGTGCAAGGTAGGTGAAAGTGCCTTTCTTATTTTATTTTTTATTTTTCTTTTTGGCCTTTTTTATTTTTTAAAGGAAAATCCTTTAGTGGAGAAATCAGTTTACTGAATAGTCCCATGTCTCCTAGTTTGAGGCTTATCATGGGATCAAGTAGGCCTTTGATCATTATACTTTTATAATTTCAACATCTGTGATGAATCATATTGAGGATCAGTTTAGATTGTTACTTTGAACCTCCAGTACTATGGCAGATATTATCTTGTTAACTGATGGCATAGAAAAAATGGGCCAATACATTAGTGAATAATCTCATTTTAATATGGTTATTAAAATTGGTGTATGCAGGTGTGGTATACACTATTCCTACATGATTCAGGGCAGAGGATAGGGCCAAAGACAAAGATGTGAAAATTAACACATAAGTGGTATGTAAATATGCAATGGGATGTCTTGTGTAGAGCCTGGAGAAAAAGATGAGGGAACCAAGGACAGAAATCAGGAACATCTAAGTAAAAAGACACATGTACTGTACAAGGGCAAGCCATGTAAGACCCTGAAGAGTCAAGCACCAGAGAACCCATACTATTGTATTATAGATCTCAAATCCGTTAATGTAAGCCTGTTAAATGAGTAGTCTCTTCCTGCCATTTTAAAGTTCAAGAAAGGTATAATTCCAGAGTTGGTGGGCAGTGAATTCTAGTTATTTTTCGAAACAGGCCTCTCACTATGTCGCCCAGGAGTCTCCAAATCATGGTGATCCATCCTTCTGAGATCTTTCAACCTCAGCCTCCCACGTGCTGGGATTACTGGTGTGTACCACCACACCTGCCATGGTTATTCTTATCACCATAGGTTTGGGTTACTTCAGCTGGTCAACAAATACTATTACTTTTGAATAGCTAGGAGATAATTAGAAATCAATACTTTGCCTAAAAATCCATTGTCTTGTGTTGAAGTTTCAAGGAAAGGACTAAGTGATTTTATGTCAAGAGTTGAGAAAAGGACTGGAAACTGTTCATGGATTACATTGTAAGGTTACAAACATTTTCAAATGTTGGGAACTTCAGTGAGTTAGTTGTGGAGATAGAATAAAA